CTTTTCAACTTTTATTTAATCATTAGATTCATTGGATTTGTAGAATAAACTATTTGAAGTTCAATTAAAATTTAAACAACCACTTGATACGGTTCATTAAATATGTTTCCAGTAATTAAGCAGGTCAACATTTAATTTTGTTCTTTAAAGCTGCCGCAACATGATTCCTTCTATTTCAGCTAATTTATTTGAAGTACCAGAGCCAACTTTATACCTTTCTTCTACCTGAATGTATCAAAAAAATGCTGCTGATTAATTTGAATGTTAGTTAATTTCTTAGCTTTTGTGTGCAAAACAGGCGCTTGGCTTTTAGACTTCCCCAGCCATATATTCTTGACAAATTAACGAGCGATCAATGTCCGAGAAACGCCGTGGAACTCTAAAAAGATGGGCGTGTGTCTTGGGGGCAGGGAGCCCATCAATCAGAAGCTAGGTGCTAGATTGTCAGAAATAACCAGAAAGTTAATGTATTAATTAGATGGTCTGTTCGACTCAAATGTGCATTTGCCTGAATCATCGGCAGCTGCGGGTTATCAAGATTGTTTATGCAACGCCTCCGATTATTTAAATGAGGCAGCAATTCATATAATAATTTATTGTGGACGCATTCGAGGCTTTGTCTGGCTGATAAGCCCACCGTTGTGTAACGTGATTAATAAACAGTATACTTACAATATAAATTAATAGCGGCCCAGCAAATCTGATAGCAGGAACTGAAGCCCTGCGATCAATGAGTTTTGGGCCTAAGTCTCTTTCTTTTCAAAGATTCCATAAACGGGTTATAAGTTGTTTCAGAGTCCCAATTTTCTGAATTCTTCTTTGGACTTTTTCTGGGGATTTCACGGCCCGCGAATCATAAAGCATTTGCATAAACAAACGCTGCCCCTTTGTGCGTTATATTTTGTAGGCTTTTTAACATAAAAGCGTCACATTTCACTTTTTCCCCTGTGCATGTGGAAACTTCGACTTGAATGAACTTTTCAGAAACATTCAAAAGTTGATCTCATGGATCCCAAAAGTTTCTTCTTATATAGGTTAATGCCATGCTTAGCCTGGGTTCGAGCTGACGAACTTGATATTTCGGTTTCGGTCTCCCTTATCAAATTTATTCTCTCTCTTTTCTACAAATGTAAATTAGGCTTGGACCAAAAAGAAATCAAAATCATTAGCCCAGATTTAGAATATCTCTACACGTAATTCACATAAAAGTCTGAAAAGTGAGATAAATATTATATTAGACATTGCCGAAACGTTTTATTTTTTTGGCCATCGTTCAAATGGCCATTTTGTTTTTTAGAGCACTTTAAAGTGCTGGGGCAAAGTGTTTTATAGAGCGGCTGCCATATAAGTGGATATGAACACAACATAAATGTATAATTAATCTATAATTACCTTGAAATTAACATGAACTTTCTGCAGTATCCGTTTGGCGCCTGTCCAAAAACGATATTTCCCAAATGGGAGACCAAATCGGCAGACTGTTTAAATGTTTCTGAGGCAATTGCGACACATTCGATTTGCATTTATCCATAAAAGCTCGGTGGAATAATTAAGGGGTAGGGGGATATTTAAAATTAAATTTGGATGTGAAGCTTATGAAGGTGAACAAATTGGGCTTTTGTTTTGCTCTGGTTCTGACTCCGACTTTGATTTTATTTTTTCGTTTTATGGCTCATCAAAATTACGTTTATTAATAGAACTTTTGTTACACGAAATCGAATTAGCCGGCTCTAGTGGATATATAATTCCAGTCTCGAAATTGAGTTCAACGAATGAATTTTTACTGTCCAAAGTTGGGAATCGAAATCGTACTTTGCTGATAGAATATGACTGCAGGATTTCACAACATGTCCTCGACTTTAGACATGTATAAAATATTTATGGTTGACATTTCAGTTCTGTGCAAGTGAGGAGCGTCAAGCCAAATGTCAATTTACATTTTTAATTAGTCTGGTGATGGAAGAGAACTTTTCACCCGGATCGAAGTCATTTGAAATGCATGAAACTATTCCGAAAATTGCAATCGCATGCAGCCTATTCATATAATGGTTCTTTCTGACCAGTAGCTCTAATTTCCTTTCAAGGGTAAAAAAGAATTAAATTGAGCTGGTAGCCTGCAATTTTGATACACCATGTGTTATATGATTCCTACACAGAAAAAAATAAACAAATATAAACTTTATATTTGGAAATATTGTAATGTGTTTATTATTTTTAGTCACAATCAAAGCTTGTTTATATTCCAAGTAAATCTTTTAATTTATTTTACACATTCAAAAATCCAATTGAGGTGTATAGATGATAAACCCTATTATAATTTTATCTTTCTCTGCACCGATTCCGGAAGTTTCTGCAACACTGCACTGCAGGGGCGTGGGCAGAAGGGGTGCTCGATACAATTTTATTCGCAGTTACCGCCGACTTTGTTGCTGCCGCTGGGCCAGCTGTTGCTGTTGCACATGCAACATGTTGCATGTTGTTGCCGCATTGCCGTAGGCATTTCACCATAATATTTATGCAAAGTTTCACGTTAGATGTGGCAAGGCATAATAATAAAGGTAAAACACGCCTTTGGCTGCCAAACGCCCCCTTTACAACATCATCGCCCTTCGTAATCTACGGTCAAATAGTTTTTGCTCTCGTTTCTGCATGTTGTCTTTGGGAAAATCTGGGAAAATTCCTTAGATAAGTTTCTTGGTAGCCAACATAATTTATTAGATCCCACAATTACCGTTGACTCAGCAATACAATCACAAAGGCAAACGTTGAGAAATGTTTTCAACCTTTTTACGTCTCTCGTTTTAATTAACCCTGTACTTAGATAATAGACAAAAATGTTATGCAAAAATACAATTCAAAGATATCATGTCAAAACTCAGTGCAAGTAATGAATTTAATATTTTCCAACTTTGTGTTATGAATGTAAAAACAGAAACTTCACAGCCCCCTGATGAATATTTAAACAATACAATTGAAATAAAATAGGCAAGGCAATATTGTTTATAGTTTTATGATCTCATTACTTGAAGAATTAACATGGTTTATAGAATAGGAAAGTACTTTTAACTACGAGTAGCGGTTATAACATTAAAAATCCCCTTCAAATAAAAGATCGCGGTTATTCCCAGAGGGTATTCTTAGATTCTAAGATGGTAATTTCATCCTCTGCTTCACACGTTTTTCCTCGAGCAGCAGTCTTTCTAAATGGTATCATGTCGCCAGCCCATCAGCAAGCCCGTAGGAGTGTTCCCTCCTACTCCAGTTGTAGGCCAAACGGATCCACACAATTAACTTCGTTTAGGGTAATTTCCGGGCCAAAGCTCTATGAAATAGAACTCTGTGCCCCGGAGGGCAGAGATCTACTCCGTTCATATTACAAACCCGAACAAATCTCGGGATTCCGCTTCTTTCGCTCCCCGAGAAAGCAAAAAAGTGACAAGTTAAACGTCGGTTTCATAATTGCGCATGGCTCTTGAGTAAATCTGGAATCAGATTTCGCACGGGCTGGAAAATTCAGTTGTGTGAAAAAAGCGGGGTCGGGCATTGTTTATGTATTTTTAGCGGCGAATGCGGAAAACTCTTTGTATATGTAATGCAGTTGTTGCTGCTCCGTTTGCCACATGGCCCACGATTTCGAAATACCTTACAAAAAAACAGAAAACAACGAAAACTATTTCAATACTCGACTGTGAGTATTTGCAATTCAATTTCGTTTTAGTGCAGGCCCAAAGAATGAGAGTGAAACGAGTTTGTTAACTTTTTTTTTGGGGGGAAATTGGAAATTTCAAGGTTCGGATTTCGCCGTTTGCACAGCCCAGTGTTTTTTGGGGATGGTTTGTGTTTCTGGATCAAGGATACCAAGTTGCGTCGGCTGGTGGTGGGGTGGACAGGTGTTAACGGGCCTTTCCTGGTGCCAGGCACGACGGCCCCTGTTGCCATTGGCACTCGGGTGGGGCTAACCTCTGTTTTACCCCTCTGCATTCTGGGGAAAATGCCGAAAACATGTCACTTGGATTCAGTGTGTTTATAAATAATACGAAAAGTCAATATTGCCCGTTCAATATGTCATAAGAAATGTCAAATTGGTATTTCAAAGTGACTGAGCCCCTTAAATTAAGTTTATATAGGATTGTCTATTACTGCATAATATATAGATTTGAAGATTGTTGAAAGATATGGGTTTAAAATCAGGTTAAATTTGTTGAAAATCATTATATTATACATAAATAATTTCTTAAATAAGGGGTAAGACAGTTCTAGACATTTTAGTAACCCTATTTCTAATGTCTATTATTTTAATACTACAACGCTTTTTAAAAATGTTTTGAAAATTTCATATTTAAAAAAGAGTTCGTAGCCAAACTGGCTTCGTTTACTTTTAATTAAACTCGGCGTGCCCTTTCAATGATATCTATCAAACAGAGCTCCCCCCAAAAGTTGACCTTTGCTGTGGTTTCAGTTACTTATGTGCCCTGATATCTCTTTATGTCAAATCGGATTTCCAGCTACTGGATGGGCCAAAGTGAAATGTCAGAAATCAGAGTCATACGTTACACATTAATTAAATTAGTTGTTATATATATACCTTATATATATGTGGTGTAGCGCAGAGATACAGATAGGACAAAGCTGAGTGACACGTGAGCAATTATTCCTGTTCGGTGTTCGGCTTGCATGTCGTCGTTATTTGTGGACATAGAAAAGGTCCACTAACGAATAAATGGGTAGATAAAGGAATGTATGATTCAGACCTCTGGGTATGCTGGGCAGAGAAGTTGGGTGAGTCACGGACGGAGTTGGGAAGTTCGAAGTGCCTCTGGGCCCAGTAAAACCGGGTCTTGAAGCTGGGCTTTAGGCCCCAAGAGAAATGGGTGTGACGCACATTTGGAAAGCTCAGCCTTGGCAACTGCCGTACAAAGTTACATGCGATTAATTTTTATTTAATTACAAGCCACTTGAGTCTTATATTGCCAACTGTTTTCCTCAATTGCAAATTAAAGTTCAATCAACGAAGCTTGTACCGCTAAATCGATCGCCGAAGATGCAGTGCGGCCTGGAGCAGATGAACGACTGTGAGCGGTCGCCGAACCGGACGAACCTCCGGGTCAACTTCAACGAGAAGGGCGCGGAGGTCAAGGAGCGGCGAGAGAAGTTCCTCACGGCCAAGTACGGGTCACACCAGATGAGCCTCATCCGCAAGCGACTGGCCGTCGAGATGTGGCTCTACGATGAGCTCCAGAAGCTGTTCGATCCCCCAGTAAGTAAACCTAAATATCCCTGGTATAAAATTAAGTACAACTGATCTGAAGAGATATCTTCTGGAGATTACCAGATCTATACGAGCGTTAAAAATATGTGGGTTCTGCTATGAACGATGTGTATTTTTGAAACAGTAGCAATAAAATAATATACATTTTGACTGATTACCTTAATTTTAACCTACAGAATGAGGCCATCGATGTGGACATTGACGAGATACTAGATATGGACACAGATGACATAAGAAGATCTCATCTTATAGTGAGTACTTCGTTTTCCACAATGACATTACACGATTCTAATAACATTTATCCCGCTTTCACAGAGATTACTGTCAGTCTGCAAACGCCCGCAATCAGACATATCGAAGTTCATTGGCGATCTGTTGGATCGTGCAAAAACCCTGTAAATCGCCAGCCCCTCACTCGAAAAAATCATCCAGCAGACCTACACTTATAATATGCAGATAAACAATAAATACCTAGATCATTAAGTTTAGCTTGGAACACAAAGAACAAAGAATTCAGTTTGCAAGTCTTTAACTCTTTTAATTCGAACACTGTGTTGACTTATCCCATGTACTTTAGTTGTTAGTTTGTATCTTTGCGCCTATTAATTTGAAGTTAAACCTAATTTAAGCTACCCTTGAAAATGATTAAACTGATGAAGATCATTAGCCCTAAGCTTATGGTGTAATACCGAAAAAACATAATACTTCATCAATTTTGTGATGATATTTTTTAAAATAAAACACAAACATGATATGGCCGAAAACCAAAAGCAAATGTTTGGCTACATTTGAATGGAAGACCATCGTAAAGGAACCCCCTGTGTAGTTAAAGAAATATGATTAGTTTCAATCTTGAAGGGAATTTACTTCCCCCATGACACTCCGGTTGTTTTGCAAAACTAGTTTATTTGCATGTGTGTGCTTCATTTAACCATCTACCAGTATGTACCCCCGAATATCATGTATCTACGTAGCCGAGAGCTGCTATTTATTAAATGAAATTTTTTGTAAGTTAAGTGTGCGATCACCAAGTCAAAGATGAAAGCTCAGGTTCACTGCCAAAACGTGGAGGAAGAAGATCTTGTATGCGCAGTTGGAAAGTACAAACGGAAACGGAAGACATAGCACAGAAAAGCCTGGCAAAACGGAATTTTACCACACATCCCAAACACTTTGTTCTCTGAGGGTGACCGAAAACGAGAATCCGAATGATCTATTGAACCGCGTTTTCAAGAGAATAATATCACATCCCATAAATGGTATAGCATTTTAGAAAACCAAGACTACACAATATTGTTGTAAATAAAATGTTAACGAATCCTCTACAGCTCGATACCCAAAAACTTTGTAAATACCCTCGGAAAAGCATAAACACTTCTTCACTCCACGAAGTCTACACCTCTTTGTAGTAGTATCTAAACAATTTCTAGCAATCGAAACATAACGTAAAAGTATTTTAAAATTGCTCAATATAGGCGGGGAGGAGAGATACGCAATTAAGATTCCGTTTCAGCACACTTAGACGCTCTTAATATACCCCAACTTCTCTCTATCTGATCTAAAAAGTATTAGTAACTTTTCAAAAATGCTATTTGCATACTAGTAACAACCAATTAATCATCGCATTATTCCATTTCAACATTCAAAAACGCATAAAACGATTATTTAAGCAAGTTTAGCAATAAAGCCTTTATACTTAATCATGCACATAACTCTCATTTAAAAATAAGTCAGAAAAGCACACACAAAAACACACGCTAAAAAGGTGCAGAGAGCTGTAATGAAAAGCTAATAGAAATATTTATAAAACGCAAACAAAAAGTTTACAATAAAAAAGTAATTGCTTTAGACAACACTTTTGGCGTTTTATTGATCCTTTCTTATGACCGAATATGCATTGCTTTTATTAGTTTTTTAACAGTGGATTTATCGTTGGTGGTTTTCTAAAAGGGCTCCTGTTTAAAAATCTCTAAAGATTTAACCTTTTTGGGACATACTTTTTCAAGATGTGGCAGACTGATTGTAACAGGTCATTCACCTTTTTAACTAAACATTTTCGAAATTAAAAGATTGCGCCACTTAACGGAAAGCTATCGATGACTAAGGAATCGCTTACAGTCGATAAATTATCATACAGTGCTGCCAGATGTATGCACCTCTACCAAGCTGGCAGCACTAGAACAGCTGTTCCAAAAAGTTGTAAACAATTTCCATCTAAAATGGAAATGAAGGACTATTACACCTGGACTTACCCGGATATACCGGAAAATGTGGCGTAAGACAAACCAAAACTGCAGTGAGCATCTCATCCACGATTTCCATTAGCCAGGAACTGCGGAAGCTGAATTGTTCATTGGTTGTGGTCGGAATCGTGGGCAGGTCAAAATGCGACCAGGCCAACAAGATGCAGGCCTTTGGCATGGAGCCTCCGATAGAGCACACGGCCAGGGATGGTCAGGTGCAGTGCTACTACAAGCCGGGCACCAACAGCCTGCTGCTCCATTTCGAGACCACCTACGACGAGGCGATCCTGGGTCAGCTGATAGATGCCTGCATGGAGAACCCGGACATTCCCTTTGACTTCGATAGCTTCTACGAGAGGATGCGTTCCCGTTTTGTACGCATGATGCTCCTTGCCTTGCATGTCTGCCACATTGTGGTGTACGTAGAAACTGGGCAGACCTTTGATCCGACGCTTGTCACTGTGTTCCAGTTGCTCAAGTTCGCCCGGGAGCAGCATCTGATGCAGTTCCTGCCGCAAATGCTGAGGGAGACCCCCGCAGCCAGGATGGGCGAAAAGGCACGGCTATGTGCCCCCAGGATTCTGTTTCTTTTCGAAAACTTCCCCCGGGACGAGCCAAAGACGCGCGAATGCGTTTCTGCCTACGAGTTCCAGACGGAGGACTGCATCTATGAGCTGCTCCGCCACCATAACATAGTGACGAACAGCAGCAACAGTTCGCTAGTGGCGCTGCCTAACAACAAGCAATTCGTCTTTTTCAACGCCCACGAAGAGTTGCATCCAGACAAGTTGTTAAAGGCTATCGAATGCCTCAACCTAGCGATGTACAAGCCCGATGCCAAGGAGGAGGAGGAAGACCTGGAGATCCTTGAACTGGCTCCCTTCGAGGGCTTTGTCAAGCCCTTCGGCGCTCCGCTTGATGAGAAGGAGTTGGAGAAGCAGCAGTACAAAAAGGACCACACGGTGTGGCACTTTCTGCAGCGACACGTTCAGGACGCTCTGTTGGGTTGCTTCGATGAGGGCTCCTTCAAGCAACTGCCCCATTTGGGGCAGTTCCACCTGCTTAATATCCAGGAGTGGCACGACTGGATGGACACGCTGTATAAGTTGCTCGTGGAGAACGCCAGGAATCCGAACCAAGAGACCAGCAACGAAGATTACGTATGTGAAATTGTTTTTTATAGCGCAGAGTTAATATTAAATTTGTTATTACAGAGACTCTTCCTGCAGAGTTTCGACGAGAGCTTGAATTATGAAAAAAAGTAAGTCGATATATGTATATTGCTTAAGGGTCTCTAAAACCACTTCTTCCCGCAGGTTTTGGGCTCACCTGTGCGAGCTGGGCCTAAAGAAGGGCATATCAGCTTACAAGAGCGCTGCACCCGCGAACTATGGCAGCTCCACCCACAAGCAGCTCCTGGCAGATGCCACCGTTGCCTTTGAGGAGGAGGGTCGCGGTCCACAGGCAAAGGCGGCTCTGGCCAAGCTGGCAGCCGTGTGCCAGAAGCACTGGCAGGATGGGCGGCAACAGTGCGAGCAGCTTAGCCTGCGCTCCCACCCCTGCACCCTGCCCAAAAACGTGCCGCACGACAAGCACAACAGCGGGGTGATCCACATATCCAGTTGCAACTGTGGCCGCACACAGGGTCGCAGAGAAGATCCGTTTAACCTGCGGCAAGCGAATTACGAGTTCTACGAGCACATAGCCCAAATGTGCAACCTGTGCGTGAAGGTTAAGCAGTACCAGTTTCCTATTTTCGAGCCTTCTGTTAGTGATTACCGGGCGGCGGCCTTTGAGGCAGCTTTTCCCCTGCTGCACACGGGAAAAAGTGGTCCGCCGCAAGACGAAGAGGGCGCAGAGGGTCTGGAGGACGAGGAGGAAGGTCAAGAGCAACAGCAGCCGGCGGAAGAGCAGCCCCAGAACTCCGCCAGCAACGGCTGCTCCCAGCCCCTTTCTCCCACCTTTGGATCCGACCTCAACATGTCTATAGCTGGCTTTGGAGCCTCACTAAACGAGTCGGAGGCCAGCTCCGAGCAGTTGACGCATTCCGAGGCGAATTCGACGAGCAGTGACACTTCTAGCGCCGATACGGAAAACGAACTTGTGGTTCAAATTCAAGAGCCTGTGAAGAAGGAGAGCCGTATAGACGCCGGCCCTCCCGATAAATATTCCACCTCCACAACGGAGTATTTGCCGGGACTGGTGCACACGGTCAGTGACTTTGGCCTTCTGCCGCTCTTCCCAAGCTGGTCGCTGGCCTGCGTGGGTCCCAGCTCCATCTACAGTCACAACACCGGGCTGCAGGAGCACTTCCAAAGCGGCTTCTTGTCCGGCGCCAATTTCCTGTTGCCCTGGGATGTCCAATTGCGGCTGGTCCATGCCCCCAAGCAGCAGCAGCACCACTCCCACCACCAGCAGCAGCATCCCGGAAAGAAGCAACAGCGCTGGAAGAAGCAGGGCGATAGGCTTTCCCTCAAAATCTTCGTGGGAATGGAGTACGAGTGCTCGCGAGGCCATCGGTTCATGATGTGCGCCCCGGATCGAGTGTTGCGCGGCGGAGCGGACATCGAGCGGGACACCTGTAGCAAGGTGGTACACAACAACATGCCGCTGTACTATCCCTGCCCGTGCCGATCCCAGACAAACTACCTGGCCCAGCTGATGCGCATCCATGTGGTGACGCCCAAGGCGCCGGTCAATATCATTGTGGATCCCAAGGTGTGCGTGGGCAAGGGAAAGTACACCTTCACCCTGGGCAGCATAATCCCACCACGTCTGTCGCAGAGCGCCTATTGGATTATCCGGCTGCCCTTCGTCTACCAGGGCGACGATGTGTTGATCGCTCCGCCGGATAAGCTGGAACCGGATGATCCGCTGGCCGGCGGTTACCTGCTGCCCGGGATGTTTGGCGTAGCAGAGACGGATCCCACGCTGGAGCTGAATGAACCTGGACGAATGGGGGTGTCCGCCGCGGGAAATTTCACTAGAATTTAAAAGCTTTTGTTAGATCAAATCTACACAAATAAAACAGAGACAGTTAAATGCATAAAACTATTCACCTTTTCGCTGGTAGCAACTTTATATTACATTTTGAAGTATACTAGTTGTACATTAGATAATATTTATTTATATTCATAGTTCTACGTTCATACCGCCACTTTCTAATACCTTACCTATTAAAAAGTTGAGAACTAATATTCTCCCGCAGTCTCCCAGCAAAAGTCTCGATTTTTCAATATAACGATTAATGTAATCTCTTCAGGCGATTTTGGGAAATACGCGATGTGGAATAATTGGAATCATTATTTTAACTCCAACTTATGGGTAAGGGAATATCCTTTGGGATGTAAAATGAGCAGCACAAAGTATAGCTTAACACTAACAAAATGAATATCTTTATAAGATAATGTGCAAATACAATACGTCTCTTTTTTGGACAATCTTTAGTCGTGTGGGCTTTATGTGATATGAGAGTCAAAACTGGAATTTCGCTTTGGTTGCACAAAATGTGGAACGAGTTGTACTAGGAATGATGCCAAAATCTGTTCTGAACTTATGATTAGGTGGTTCCATTGTAGATGTACATTTTTAAGTAAAATATTTCATTGATCTTTCATGGGCCAGGACTTAAAAATACTTTTACCATGCAGAACTTTATAATCTCTGATAAAACTAAATGATAACGTAACACAACGAGTATAAATTGTGACTTTCTAACCCTTAGGACTTTTTGGAACATTTCCGCGAGAAATCGTTTTAGGTTTCTGTTAAAAAATAATTTTTGTAAACAGCCCACGACTATTTCGGTTACCAAACAAAAACGGGTGTAAAAAAAGTAAGGCCGGATAAACTAAAAGTTCTCTAAAGAAGTTGGGTATAGCGGTGACCCAAAACTATTTAAGAACTGCCGTGCCTTTTCAGTGTAAATATGAATTGCTTTCATAAACTATGGCCAATCCTATTACTTAAATCTACATGAGCGCGTCGGTGTATACCTCCTCCTCGTTCACGACAAAGTCGCCAAACACCTCCTCTTGGCAGCCGACGTCCATGTCGGCAAAATCCTCGTAGTACATGTCAGAGTCTAGTAGCATCTGCTCCTCCTGCAGATCGAGAATCGGATAACTCGGGTTAATGAGCGGTTCCTCTGCTTCCTGCACCTCAGTCACCCCCACTGGAGTCTCCCCTCGCTCATCCTCCTCCTCATCCGGTGGTTCCTCTGCTTCATCGGGTTCTTCCTCGTCCTCGCCGGTGGAATCCATGGCTGGCACCTTGGGTTGCTGTGGAAGCAGTATTTGCTGCTGTTGCTGCTGCTGGTTCATCTGTTGCAAGACGGACTGGACTCGCTGCATATAGGCTTCCTGCTCCTCTATGGTGCACTTGCCCTCTGGATGGGCTGATCCTGGTGCCGTGTTCATTGCCGACTGCTTCATCGTGTCCAGGAGCGCTGCATGCTGAATATGGACATGATTCGCCAGGGCAGTGGCATCCGCGTGCAGGGATCCGCAGACGATGCAGACCAGCGTCTCGTGCGGCTGCTTGGTGACCAACAGCCCTGGTGATGACGAAGCGGAGGCGGCAGCAGCCACCTGGTGCGCCTGAATGTGCTTGTTGAGGTACGCCTGCTGGCTGTAGGACTTTCCGCAGATGGGACACGGGTAGGGCTTCTCGCCAGCATGGATCTTCATGTGGACACTCAGACTCGAGGCCTGGGTGAAGCATTTGTCGCAGAGCTTGCACTGGAATGGCTTCTCGCCGGTGTGGATGCGCATGTGGATGTTAAGGCTGCCCGACTGCGTAAAGGAGCGATCGCACAGGGAGCAGGTGAACGGCTTCTCGCCCATGTGGTTCTTCATGTGCTGCACCAGCTCCGAGCTGGCGCGGAAGGCCTCACGGCAGATGGCGCACTGGTACACCAGCTCCTGCGTGTGCATCCGCATGTGCTCGTCGAGCAGCGCCTCTGCCTTAAACTCCCGCTCGCACTCTGGACAGATGAACGTCTCCGTGGGCGCGGAGTGCGTCTTCTGGTGCAGCAGCAGCGAGCTGTAGTTGATGAATCCCTTGTCGCACTCCAGGCACTGATGCGGTTTGCGCACAGAATGGGAGCGCATGTGCACCATCAGACTGCTGGATTGCGTGAATGCCTTTGGGCAGAGCTCGCACTTGTACGGCTTCTCGCCGCTGTGAATCCGGATGTGCGTGTTCAGGCTGCCGATGTGCGTGAAGGTCTTCTGGCAGATGGAGCACTGGAACGGCTTGTTGGTGATGTGCGAGCGCACGTGCTTGGACAGATCGCCGGCGTTGGGGAAGCTGGCCTCACAGTGGGTGCACTGGAAACACTTCTGGTTGCCATTTAACGCCGGATCCATCACGGGGACGTTGAAGTTGGTTCGCCTTCCCCGCCGCCGCTTGATGGGCGCCGGGTCCAGGGAGAATCCCATTGGTGGAGTGGGTAAGGGTGGTGTCAGCTGTTGTTGCAGGGGGGTAAAGCTCATGGCCGGTTGCAGCATGAAGATCGAGGTCGACTCCCGGGGATCCGCCACCTGGAGCTGGAACTCGTTAAAGGCCGGTCCGGCCACCAAGCCGCGCATGGGCTGCATGGATTCCTGGCTCTGCTGGGTGTTCGAGTTGCTGGAAGTCGGCACCGAGCTGCTGGACGAACTGGAGTTGCTGGAACTCGAGCTGGAGCTGCTGTCGTCGTCGTCGTCGTCGTCCGAGGAGGATGAGCTGTCGGAGCCCGAGGAATCGCTGCCGCCCGAGGAGTCGCTACCATCCTCCGCCAGCTCGCAAACGGGCTCAAAAATCCAGCTGTAGTCCTCGCCCTCGTCGCCCGGACTCTCCTGCTCCGGCTGCCCGTTGGTCGGCTCATTGGGGTGCAGGGTGTTCATGTGCTGGTAGAGCAGCGCTGGGTGGACGAAGAACTCCGAGCAGCACATGCAGTGGAAGGTGAGATCCGGCGGCTGCGGCTGCGGGGGATTGGGTGCCGGCTGGAGGGGATTGGGAGCCTGCTGCAGAATGTGGGCAGGATGTGCTGGATGCAGGATCGGGGTGATCGTCAGGGGCAGGTGGTGGTAGCTCTGCTTCAGCTGCACGGCCATCTTGCCAAAAGGCTATTAAAAGAGGCAGAGAGTGTATAAGCATTTTCTCTATAATAGGAAGCGAAAAATCAATGCCGTACCTTGGGTGAGATTGGATTCGAAGAGGGCTTATTCTGGGTTAATATGGGTTGCGTAGATTACTATTATATCACTGGTGTGTTGCTCAGGTTCCGTGCTTTTGTGTTTCTCTCAGGGCTCTTGGCTTTTTTCCATTCCGTTCCATTTTATGCGCGTCCAAACAAAAAGTTGTTTCCTGTCCTTAGGCTTGTTTTTGTTGTTGCTCTTGTTTTTGAATTTAGCAGCTCAGTTCCGCTGGTCGGCGGGTCTGGCCCTCGATTTGTGGCCAACTAAAAGGGACTGCCAGGAGCTGCGCATCAAGCGAAAGCAGCGCATCGCCAAATCGCAAATCGCCAAATCGCAATTACAAGCGTCCTCGCAATGGTTACAACAAATAAAAGAAAAATGTTTTATGTTGGGCGGTCTGCGCACGATCAAGCGACAGCATATCGTCATTCACAAGTGTCGTGCACTTCGTCTGCATGACCGAAAAGACCGCGCTTATTCGATTCAAATTAGAAGTCTTCATCACGAATGGTTTTGTTATTTTATTTTACATTTTTCTCCCCACCATGTAAACATGTACTATTCCATTTTTTATTGCTCGTTACTGTTTAAATTTATTAATATGGTTAGGGACTACGAATAAAATCTCTAAGATTTTGTACAGGTGATACTTACATGTTATAGAGTTGACTTGACTTCTATGTAAAATAAGGAGACTATTCTGGATTTCAGCAATTCAAGGTAAATTAAATATTTGAAAATAGAGTATTTATCAAAAGCCAAGAACTCAGATCGGCACCTGTCGCTTTGGTACTACAGGTGCCAGGTCTTGCCAAAAAGGACATAAACTAGAGGGCGGTCAATTCCTTAAAAAAGACCATAGCAATATTTTTTCAAGATGAGATCAATTGTTGTGTTCCCAGCTGTTGGAAGACTCCATTGGCCTTCAACAACAAACATTTTCTCATAACAAGAGTTCAAATGCATTTCCTTCTAAAAAAAAATACCGAGTGAGCGAGAGGCAATTACGTGGCTAACGCTTTTCGTCGGGTCTGTTTTTCAGCGCGGTACATACCCAGATAAACTAAGGAAATACCGTAAAAAATACCAGATTTAGCGAGTGAATTTCAATGAACTCCGCTAGCCACGGCCCAAAGAATAAGTAATTTAATCTTTGGCGGTGTTCGTGCAAAAGCGGTATGGAAACTAAAAATTAAAAATGGGAGGAAAACCCCAAAAACACCTGAAGGAGGTCAGTGCAGATAAAAAAGGACACATAATCCAAGCTGTTGCCCATTATTGTGGGACTTTACCGACAGGAAGAAATACCACAACAGGTCATGTACGCAGAATAGTTGAAGTGCTGGAGGAGAGAATTTCAGTGGGAAGGAGCATGCCGAGTGGGACTTCGCTCCCTACATGGACATCCGGGCGTGTCCTCGCAAAGAACGAAAGTTCTGGCCAAAAGAATTTGGTTACGTTGTACTAATAGAAGAATCTTTTTAGCAGAACCCCCATAACGATCTTTGTCGAGCTCTCCATTGGGGAACCACAGGACTCCAACTACACCAGCTACTAGGCAGCTAAAGCGGAAATGGAGGAAGCGCTGGCTTCAATAGGGAGGAGGAAAAAAGGATGGCCGCTAAGGGACAGCTGGAGAAGCTGTTACCAGCCATTGCCAGGATGAACAGTCCCGTTCCCAATCCGGCTCCCACTTCCTCAAGGTCCAATATGCCTATTGGGCATATGCCGTGGGCCGAGATGGAAGCTTCATACTACTAATTTACATACTTAAATAAAAACATTCGTTGAACACTCCATTTTTTATATTTATATATATTTATTTATATATATTTATTTATTTATATTTTTAAATTGATTTGTTTTCCGTTTAACAACAAACGCAGCTGCTTGACAGTAATACCATGCTACATGCATTGCGGATGAACTTCAAAAACTTCGGTCACACTAAAAAGAATACGATTTTTCGACTAGTGAAACTCTTAGCCATGGTACAATTATACAAGGTAGTCCCGTCGGCTGCCTAATCGTTCGGCTTTCAGTTCGTTAACGTGCTTCAGCGATATTGCTATCCTTTTCACCTGCACGTATTGCGAGTATCGTTAACGGACTAAATTTTGCCGACGGGACTACCTTGTATAGTTTTACCACGCTCTTAGCCGAGGCCAAGGTTTTAAACCTAGTACTCAGTTCGGCTAAGAGTTTTCACCTCCAAGATACACACTGAGCCAAACTGATCTGTCCGACGTACTATCGAACCTGGGTCCTAGATTCTTAATCGGAGGCGACTTCAACGCAAAACATACCTGGTGGGGATCACGAACCGTCAACCCGAAAGGAAGAACACTTCTTGGATGCATCAGGGCATTGGGTTGCACCGTCTATTCAACTGGAGAGCCTACCTACTGGCCCACCGACCCAACCAAAATTCCGGACCTCTTGGACTTTGCATTTAGCAGAGGAATTGACCCCACAAAAATATCTACGGTTGCATGCCATGATCTTACATCGGATCATAGTATGGTCAAGATATTGTATAGCAACTCCTATCTGAGGAATCCAACTGCAGTCAAGCTCATCAGGCGGAATACAAATATCCCGATATTTAAATCTTGGCTAAAAAATCATGTAGACCCCCAGCCAGAACTAGAAACTCCAGTAGACGAGGCGGTGGAGTACCTCACCAGACAGGTTCATTTGGCAGTAAGCATCGCAACTCCAGAGATTGAAACCACACGAACGGTGCACACCAGAGGCCTCAGAGACAACTATCTCTGGTCAACCGAACTGGCATCAATGGTAAGCGAAAAACGGCGATTGAGGAGGGTCTGGCAGCTGAGTAGAAGACGGTCGGACAAAACCATCTACAACAGGGCATGTAAAGACCTTAGCAGGATGCTCCTAGATCTAAAAAGCAAGTCCTTAGAAGCGTACCTCGCGGACCTTGAACCCTGTAGCGCAGACCACAAACTTTGGAACGCAACTAAGTATTTGAAGAGACCCACACGGAGGATAGCTCCGGTAAGATCATTGACTGGAGCTTGGTGTCGTTCAAACCAAGAAAAGGCAAATGCCTTTGCCGACCACTTAAGGAGTAGTTTTCAGCCATTCGACCTGTGCGACCCTGAAGAGCTTCAAGAGACACTTCATTTCCTGGATGTGGCCTGTCCCATGGACTTGCCCATTCCAGAAATCGACTGCGAGAAAATAAAGGACTTAACATCACTCAAACCAACAAAGGCTCCCGGGTATGATCGTCTAGATGCCGCTGCTCTGAAGTTAATGCCGCCAAACTGCATTGAAAATCTGAAATCTATCATGAACCAAAGCCTGAGACTCGGCCATTTCCCATCGCAATGGAAATGTGCAGAAATCAATGTAACTTTTGTTAACTCACACTCAAATTTTTATCAAAAAATTTAATTTATTGCACCTCGGGCAGACGTAAATAAAAAGTATCAAATCAAAAAAAAAAAAAAAAAATATTCGAAAAATCTTATTCTTTGTAGTGTGGCAGAAATTTTCAAAGTTCACCCGCAATGCATGTGTCATGGCCTTACTCACGCAGCTGGGCTTGTTAACAAAGGGATAACAAATCATTTGGATCAATTTAAAAAAAAACAGTCTGCTAGTAAACAAAGAAATTCAAATAAAGGGAACTTTCAACGAATGTTTTTATTTTTGTAATTTAGTCATAGTTTAATGCATCCTTCTCGTCCCACGAATGCTTCGTCATCTGCCCCGCGCCATCTGCAGTCCAGGTACGAATCCCAATAGGCATATTGGACCTTGAGGAAGTGGGAGCCGGATTTGGAATGGGGTTGTTCCTTTTTTCCTCCACACTGTAGAAGCCAGCGCGTTCTCCATCTCCGATTTAGCTGCCAAGTAGCTGGTAGTGGTGGTGCAGTGTGGTTCCCCAATGGCGACCTAGTCGGAGATCGTATTAATGGTAATTCTGCTAAAAGGATACCTCTATAAGCAAAACGTAACCAAATTCTTGTGGCCAGAACTTTCTATCCTTGCGAGGACATTCCCAGCAGAATGTCCTTGTAGGGAGCCAAGACCCACTGGAACTATCTAGTGGATCTCCTCCAGCTTTTCATCTATTCTGCGAATTTGTCCAGTTGTGTTATTGGTTCCTGTCCGTGAAGTCCCACAATAATGGACAACAGCTTATATTATACGTCCTTTTTCATATGCATTGACATCCTGCATGCGTATTTGGGGTTTTCATACACTCAAAAAAAAAATCACCATAAATATTAGAAAATCGCCCGTGATTTCAAAACGCCATTGAATTAAGAAATATTTTCTTGATTATAGAAAAAATGTCTACAATTTGAGGAATTCGCCATAATTTTTTTTTTTTGTAATGAAGAAGAGGAAGAATTGCATTTTTTTCTTTAACTAATGGCGAATTTTTCTTGATTTTTTTTCTTGAAATAATGGTAAATTCTTACTTAAATTTAGGAAAGAAATACCCATATTTTAAGAGAATGTGACTTTTTTTTATACATTTTTATGGTGGTCTAGCTGGTAAAGACGTCCGGTCAATAAACAATCGAACAAAAGTACCAGGTTCGAGCCCACGCCACGGTAAGTGTACCCTTTGTTTATTCATTTTTCTTTTTTTTTAATTTATGTAATTTTTATTCCTATTAGTTTCACTTTTCTATTTACCAAATTGTTTAAACGGTTGTTAAAAAGGTTTAGATTAGAATAAACGTTATTGGTATGCGTAACGCTGGACCAAAAACACCTTAGCCCTCTTTAGTCATCGTATGACAAGAAGCACGCGTGGCGAACTGGTTAAGACGTCTGGCTATGGTGTGAGCAGTTGCGGGTTCGAGTTCACGCCGGGGTTGTCTGAGGTAAGGATTTTTCCAGTTGTTTTATTTATTTATATGTTTATAAAAAGTATTCATATAAAATAAATCTTTAATAAATTCAGGTAAATATAAAAATTTACAGACTGTATTCCCATTTAATAATTGCCATTAAAATTAGAAACGGTTTTATCTATTTCAAATTCAAATTTGCTATACAAAACCAACCAAATTCCTCAAATGTAAAAAAAAAGGTAATCTTACATTATAAATAATTTTTTTCTTATTTTAACAAAATGTTCCTTAATTTTAAGGTTTTTTACCATAGTTTTTTTTGCCAGAAATGGCAAACAATAAATTCAAGAAAATTATTTATTTAAAATTAAGGTGAGTTGCCGTTGGATGAAAATCATAGGCGATTATCTTGATTTAAAGGCGAATTTCTTGATTTAAGGGCGATTTTTTTTTTGGTTATACCATTTTAAATTTTTTGGGCCGAAAACCAAATGTTCCCGTTTGTTCTTACGATCCAAAAATCGGAGTTTGAAAAGTTAATTCTAGAAACGCCCCGCACATACAAAGACATTAAAGGGTTGTGCGCCAGACTTATAAATGTTCTCCAACCTCAAGAATGGACAGAAGTCTTCTCAAAGACGATTTATGACGAGTTTAGAATGTCCCATTGCTACAACTTTGAGAGCAATTACATCAATTCGGAGAAAAATTCGTAAAAATTCCAAGGAGCCCACCATTCATATTCTAATCCAAAATGTATGCCAATAGAGTATATTTTCAGGTAATATATATAATATATATATATATGGGCAGCAAATTGAAAGCTGACATTTTGAGAGGTAAAAGTGGAGAGATTTTTAAAATTATGTGCACCACCAACAAAGGGAAAAAGAAGCGTGCGAACCGACAGCTTCGTAACTCGAAATTTTACAGCTGAACATTTGGAGAAGGAATATACCCTTTTCTACAAAACCAAAAAAGCTTCTGAGCTAATGGAATCGGACGACGATTTGGAACATCCTCACCTGTACTTCGCTTCAGTATGCAGAAATGCCTAATACGAGGAATGCAGATTCGCTAGACTCCATCTCCGACCGAAAAATAAGCCAAATGGGTCATATGATATTCGCGAAACAGAAAAGGGTTCGGAAAAAATCCCTATTTGGTCACCACATCAGGTTCTAGCTTAAAACAAATTAGGAAAAAAGAAATCCCTGTGTGTCCATGCCTCTGGTGGCAGGTTTATGAAAAATATTTTCGTGGATGCCGTGCTCCACTCTCCGATTGGTAAGTTGGAAATATGGTTTCTATGGCTTTTAAGATGGCTACAAACAGGACCTCAGTATCCAAAAGAAGTGATATTTTAGAAAGGTTAATATTTATATGAGCCACATATTTGTATTTACTATGATTTATTGCAGGTGTGCAATTCGTTACGGGTCTTGCTGTCGGCTTCTTGCTTAGCATTTGCGACCTTCAACCCCGTTAAAGCTTATGCAAATGCTTGCGTGTCAAACAATGTGCCAAGATCATACATACGCATACGAGTAGAAGGCTCAACATTTTTTTTACAGCACTTGTGCTTTTAATAATCTCTTTAAGGTGCACTCGGCTGGACTAGTCCATTAAAACAGTACGCTAAAAAGAAAAAAAAAGGCACTGCTCTTAATGTGCCAGAATCTAAAATTGATGCTCAGACCTTAAAAAAGAGAGCACAAATATTGCTCCGTTTTTTTAAAAAACAGCCACAAAATTCCGTGTATTGCAGCTCAAAGTAGTTAACCTAGCTAACTTTAGATTAAAAGCAACGCCATCATTTAGGGAAATTTCCCTTTATTCTTCTGGATGCAAGCCCCGAATAACTAAGTTGCCGACGATTACCATAACCGCACGGCAACCTAGTGAAGGCCTTGAAGAAACTAGATTTCGCAAAGATGCCTGTGCCGACATAAGCGATATTACTCTTCATGAGGTAGGAAAATGAATATCATTTTCTAGTTTTATACACATAACTGCTTTCAAATACATTTAAATAATTTTAGGTGATATGGTGCTAACTGGTCTTGGGCGACTCTTATAGTGTACTTTTAAATAGCCAGATATAGTAGCATGCCCCACTTTCGCTTCACCTACCCGCTGATTTCGGGATTTTCTGTTAAGTTGACGTACAACATGAAGAACAATTCTTGTGAGGCGTGTTAATAAAGAATGCGGCCACTTAGGCTTATATCAAAAAAATATGGAAAAAAGATTCTTCAAAGTCAAATATTGCATCATGCTCTCAGGATTGCGGTTTTAGTATCTAATAATGAATAATCTCAAGAATCATTAAAACTAACATCTTCCAAAACCAAAGACTCTAATATTTATATCGAACAAACAGAAGTTGATGATTCCGAATTGATGAAGAATATCGTAAAATATTAAGATGGAGGTGAGGCAGAAAAATTCCTAAACGTGCCAGACTTGGGTCCGCCGTTGGAGAAACGTTCATCTTCATTACGCGAAAAATCCATTAGAACGGAAATCTTAAATAAGGATCATATAATGGGGAAAAAATAGGTAGGTAGGGCTCCAATAAATAATCTCAAGAATCATTAAAACTAACATCTTCCAAAACCAAAGACTCTAATATTTATATCGAACAAACAGAAGTTGATGATTCCGAATTGATGAAGAATATCGTAAAATATTAAGATGGAGGTGAGGCAGAAAAGTTCCTAAACGTGCCAGACTTGGGTCCGCCGTTGGAGAAACGTTCATCTTCATTACGCGAAAAATCCATTAGAACGGAAATCTTAAATAAGGATCATATAATGGGGAAAAAATAGGTAGGTAGGGCTCCAATACTAAAGGACATACGATATACAAAAAGGGAAAAACGTGTACGAAGGCAACATAATTAGGGCCAGAAAAATTTCTGTATTTCTCTGGTTAAATATCAATCATATAATGCGGAAAATATTAGGTATCTAAAGGTGTATCTAAAAGCAAGATATCCAAAGGTGAGAGATATAAGATCAAATCTGTATTTCTTTGGTTAAATTAGGATCATGTAATGCGAAAAATATGTAGAGGTAAAGGTTTATTTAAGAGAGAAAGCTCAAATAGAAAAACATATTTATTAAGACATATTTCTTAAAAGGCCCAGAAAATATGTATTTCTCTGGTGCAGCCCCCTTCAGAACCTAAACAAGAATGCACGAGCCGAGTCGAAAGTAGGGATGCAAAAACATCGATGTCACTATCGATACTATCGATGTTTTTTAAAACAGCGATGTATCGATGCTTTTTTTCGAACATCGATGTTATCACTAAGAGATACACACGCAAAGCAAGTGGTACGTAAATTGGGAAAAAGTGCACATTTTTCCATTTTATTAAGTATTGTTACAGTTTGATACAGGTAAAACATATTAGGGCGGTTCCTCTCGGCACAATGGACAGGTTTCTGCACATAACAAGTAAGTTCCAGTCGCAGCAAGAAAACCGGATCAGATGTATGGAAATATTTTGAGAGGTGCAAGAACAAAATGTTTGCCAAATGTCGGTTTTGCGGAAAGGAGTATAAAACTTCCGGCAATACAACAAATTTATCCGATCATCTAAGGCGCCTTCATCCATTGAAAGTATCAGTAAGTACAGAAAACGCAATGAAAATGGACAATTTTGTTTTACGATCTGATGCGTACGACCCAAAATCATCCAGAAAGATTGAACTTGATAAATGTCTCGCTAAAATGGTGTCGTCAGATATTCAGCCGTTCAGCATAGTAGACGACAATGGGTTTAAAAATTTTATAAAATTACTCGATCCAAAGTACATTTTGCCCAGCCGTACTACATTGCAGAATGTGGTCACAAAAAATCTTTATGAAGAAGCGCTATCCAAATTAAAGGGTAAGCTGAGTACGGTCCAATATTGCTCATTAACAACGGATTGTTGGACGTCTCGTTCAAACGCCAGTTACCTAACGTTGACGTGCCACTTTATTGAAAATTTCGAGCTAAAAACGGTTGTTCTAGCCACACAGCCGTTATTAGACCAAACCAATCACTGCAGTGACAATATTGCAGGAACTATAAAAGCAATTTGCATGGACTTTGACATTTTTAATAAAGTGGTAACTATTGTAACGGACAACGCAGCTTCTATGAAAAAGGCCTGTGAGAATTTGCAAAAAAAGCACCTGGGTTGTTTTGCCCATTCATTAAATTTAATTGTTCAAAGCACGCTTGCCCTAAATGATGTGCAAGATGTTTTAAAAAGCGTTAAGAGCATTGTCACTTATTTTAAAAGCAGTGCGATTGCGTATGCCAAACTAAGAGCTGCACAAGGCGTTGAAAAGCCGTTAAACCTAATACAGGAAGTGCCTACTCGTTGGAATAGTGCATTCTATATGCTAAAGAGAATTTTACTCGTTCGAGAGGCAGTTTGCGGAGTTTTACTAAAATCTTTGAAGGCGCCACTACCGTTAAGTGAGGAACAATTTTCTATCATTCAAGACATCTGCACCGTTTTAGAGCCATTTGAAACGGCAACAGTGAATACGTCAGCTGCCAAAAAAGTAACGGTATCCTTAATAATACCCACAGTGCAGGGCCTTTTAATTCAAATGGATACGCTTAAGCCGCAAATGAAGACGAGTGTAGGGGCTGACACTTGCTTGTTTTTAACAAATCAGTTGAGAAGCAGACTTTACCCCTATGAATCTAGAACTGCTACGAGGATGACAACGATTCTCGATCCAAGATTTAAAAAGGAAGGATTTTACAATCCGATGAATGCAGAACAAGCAGTAGCAGCGTTGGAAAATGACTTGACTTTCGTCTTCAAAGATGTGCAGAACCAATGTCCAAATGAGGAACCGGCCGCCGAGAAAACACACCCCTCTGATTTGTACGGATTTATGGCCGAAAAAGTCAAAAATAAGCCAAGAACTTGGAGATCCGATGCAATAATCGAAATGCGGCAATATTTCGAGCAACAGAATGCGCATCAGAAAATAGATCCGCTCGAATACTGGAGGGTAAATTTTTTAATATTTTACATTTCTTCTTGAATAACCCTATTTTCTTACAGGTTAATGAAGTTCAATTCAGCAATCTTGCGCAGTGCGCGTTAAAATATTTATGTATACCTGCGACATCTACTGACTCGGAAAGGACTTTCAGCAAGGCAGGACAAATCGCGGACGAAAAGAGATCTCGACTTAAACCTAAAACTTTGAACATGCTGTTGTTTTTACAGAAAAACCAGTGGATTATTAGTTAAGATATAGATATCGATTAGATAAGTAAGATAAGTAAGAACTGAACTGAACTGAACTGAACTGAACTGAAGTGAACTGAACTGAAATAATGTGATTCCATTTTTCTTTATGATTTCGTTAAAATATGTATTAAGATTATGCTTTTTTATTTGTTTCTGAAAATATTGTTGTTGTTTTGTTTGAATAAATATAAGTTTATAATAAGTTTCATAAAAACAATATTTTAATTAATATTTGGAGGGTTTTATGGTATATATTCATAAATTGAAGAAAATTTCGATGTTTTTAGCGAAATTTCGAGGTTTTAGCAAAATTTCGATGTTTTCGCGAAATTTCGATGTTTTAGCGATATATCGATGCTTACAAACATCGATGTTGAAAACATCGATGTACTCACTATCGATGTTTTTGCATCCCTAGTCGAAAGCGCAAGGAGAATGAAGATGTGCAAGCAGAAATGGGATTTTGTGCGAGGTTACAAAATTTAGTAATACCGTATGCCGTATTCTTGCAAAGGCTGTATGTAGCATTTTGATATTTTTTGTATATGTTAGATTTGTTCAATATATTCTCAGGCGGTTCTAGAGGTGGGAGGAAAGAGCATTCAATCAAAATTGCTACTTCATCTCTGCTCTACTTATATTTTCCCGGGGTGGCCGTTTGGAGAATTTTTGGTATATTTAAATAAAACAGTATATTTCTTCTAGCCTGATGGTATAATTGATTTATAATTCCTTGGTCACATTACCGTCCCGGCATTTTTGGCGGATACCGCGTGAATTTCTGTTTTGTTTTTATTAATATTAATGCCAAGTAGCAGATAGCCGGGATCCGCAGAGAGCAGCAGTAGGAATGGCCGACAGCCCGTTCCCAATGAGCAACCGCAGTGGCTTGCTGCGCACCACCCTAAACGGCTCCCTTGGGCCGCAGAACTTGTCCCACTCCCTGCTCCTCCTCGAGCAGAGCAACGCGGCTCTGGAGGATCGGGCGCTGGTCGAGGACGCCGGCGACGATCTGGATCGCGGAAAGAGTCGCGTGGACGTGCTGTTCCCGCAGTTCTTCGACGTGCTGCAGGCGCATGGCGGCGGACCAGAGGCCTTCGAGGTGATCCAGGCCTTAACCCACGTCTGTCGCGGTGTCGTGGAACAGCTTGAGCTGGAGATCGAGCGCGGCGTGGGTGGGGCACAGGGTGCCAGACAGCGCGAAGCCATCCTTGCTTGGCTGCGCCAGGAGATCTACACGTGGCGACTGTTGCACGCCCTCTTCTACGACCGCATCCTGCTGCAGGCAGATACCCAGGCGGATGATGAGATGCATGACGGTCCCACCCTGGGCGGCAGCGAGAAAGAGGTCATCCAGCAGCTGTACACCATCAATGCCACTCTGCGAGAGTACCAGCTGGTCGTGGACTGGCTGGAGGCCTGCTACGATCCGGGGGAGCAGCAGAACCCGCTGCACTGTCACGACCGCATGATGGCCTGGGAGAACACGCTCTTCCAGCTGGAGAACCTGCAGGGCGCCGCCTTTGGCAAGGGTCACGAGATCGTGACGCGCCTGGATCCGGATGCCCCTGTCCGAGAGAAGCGCCCGCTGCACGCCCTCGACGAGGAGGACAACCTGCGCCTGTCTCGCGCCATCTTTGCGGCCATTCGCTCGGGACGCGTCGACGAGGGTCTGAAGCTGTGCAAGCACTACGGACAGACCTGGCGGGCGGCCATCCTCGAGGGCTGGCGTCTCCACGAGGATCCTAATTTCGAGCAGAGCGTATCTGTGGTCCATGAAAAGCTGCCCATCGAGGGCAATCCCAGGAGGGACATCTGGAAGCGCTGCGCCTGGATGCTTGCCGATTCCAAGAACTACGACGAGTACAGCCGGGCAACGGCGGGCGTCTTCTCAGGGCACCTGGGCTCCCTGAAGAACCTCCTAAGCAGCAACTGGCATGATTTGCTGTGGGCCCACTTGAAGGTCCAGATTGACATCCGTGTAGAGTCGGAGATACGCGGCTGCTGCTTGAAGCGCTACCAACCGATGCCCGACGACTACTGGAACGGCAAGATGACCATGGAGCAGATCTTCGACGAGCTGAACGTGGCCAAGGATGCCTCGGTGCGGGACTTTGCCCAGGGTCAACTTGGCATTATCCAGCGCCATTTAATCTTGGATACCTGTGGGGAGCTGCTTCAGCACATGGCCCGCTGGGTGGAAAAAGATGCCGGCCAACTGTCACCCCACCAACTTCGCTTCATGGCCCACATTGTGCTTTTCCTGCGTCAAATCGGACGCGTAGAGAAGGAGCGTCAGGCGGAGAAAATCATTGCCGCCTATGTGGAGGCCTTGATTGCGAGGGGCGAGCCCCAGCTGATAGCCTACTATGCAGCAGCACTCTCGAATCCACTGCAGGTTAAGTTATACTCGCGTTTCCTGGAGCAGGTGGAGCAGAAGCGCCAGCGGGAGTTGGCTCTGGATGCCGCCTTAGAAGCAGGCTTGGATGTGGAACAGATCACACGGATCACCGTGGAGAACATTCGACTCGTCCACCACGCTCCTGGAGAATTCGGTGAGCCGCACTCGGGCGAGATCTCCGTGCCGGATCAGCGCAAGATCTCAGCCCTGGAGTGGCTCCTCCATCTGCCGGAGCAGCGCGGTGAGCTGCTGTGGCAGGCCAACGCCATGATGCGCACTTACCTTGCATGCAGTAAGATGGAGTGCGTGCGCCAGACCTTCCGTATGGTGCCCGGAGACATAGTGCAGCAGATCGTGAACTTGTACAGCTCGGTGGACAACATTCCGCCGCGCGAGGAGTGCTGCGTGAAGGAGTACCTCTGCTACAAGGTGTATCTTTCAGGCGTGGACAGCTTCGTGGAGTGGAACCGCCTGCAGCAGAACAAGCCAAAGAAGCCGCAGGCTGGACTTTCTGCCTCCGCTCAGGACAACTTCACGGAGCGCATGGCTAGTGAGCGTAAGGAGCAGGCCCACCGATCGGAAGTCCTGCGCTGGGAGCACAAGGTCAAGGAGCAGGCCAAACGTAAGAATAAACCTTTATATACAGGCATTTTGATCCCTAATCATTGTTTTTCTTGAAGAAACCATCGAAACCTTGTACAATGTGCTGATGTTCCCGGACAAGGGATGGCTGGTGGATCCGTTCATCGCCAAGCAGCCCGAGAACGCCGTGCAGCTGAACTGGGAGCACCGCCTGCTGCAGATGGAGAAGCTGCGCTCCATCTGCATTCCCGAAATCGCCCTGCTTCTGAATGAAGTCATGTTCAAGTCGGGCGACTTTGCCGGCTGCGTGCGACTGGCGGATGAGATCTCCGGCGAGGGCCGGCAGCTGTACAAGGTCTACACGAAGCACAAGCTGGCCGAGCTGCTGGCCAAGATCGCGGACGCCTCCCTGGAGCTGCTCAACTCGAAACTGGATCCCTGGGGCTACCCCATAACAGTCTAGCAGTACAATGTGTGTTTTTGCGATTACATTCTAACTTTAAACGTTTATTATTTATGCACTGTTCACTTACACAACTAACGAGCGGAAAAAAAGGGGGAGCTTGGAGTTAAGGGGCTTAAGAGTTGTTGTCCACCGCAGCGACGTTGTTCTCGTCGCACCCGTTGCTGTGCTTCAGCAGGTAAGAGGCCAGGAACTGGATGGGGTCCGTGGGACGTTCGCGGGCGAGGGCCTGCAGTCCGTGGAGCAGAACCGGCGCCACCGTCTGGTCGAGGTACTGTCGCGTGGGCATGGAGCTGGTCTCGCCACTCGGCTTCTTGGACGCCGTCTGCTGCTGCTGCTGCTGGACCACTGGATTCGTGGACTGGCCAACGGTTGTGGCTCCGGACGCAGCTGCTCCTGGTGCGACGGTCGAGTTGTTCTGTGCGCTGTTGGTGCAATTCTGCTCCTTGGCTGCATCTGCCGGCGGATTCGGTGTGGGCGCCGGGGAGATGGGAGCGTCGGTCTTGGCCTCCATGTCAAGGTCTAACCGGGGTTTAGCAAATCTCTTGTTTTCAGTTAGCGTCTTTGGAGCGGTCCAAACCAATTCGATTCGATCAAAATGTACATTGGGCTTGCAGGGTTGCCGAGTCCACCACGGAAATCGATATACCCCGATAAATCGGACTACCGTGATTTGTGTCACGACTGTGACTCGATAGGAAAACCGGCCACCGCTATCGGGAAAATTATCGATTGTCATCCCCAATTGATCCAATTGGGTGAAAATTAGGAAAAAATAGGAAAATCTCACAGATCAATTAAAACATGACGGAGCTGCTGATTGATCCGGACATCCGTGTGTGGGTGTTCCTGCCCATCGTGCTGATCACCTTCCTGGTGGGCATTGTGCGCCACTACGTCTCCATACTGATTTCCACGCAGAAGAAGGCCGAGATCACCCAGATCCAGGACAGGTGAGTGAACAAAGGGCACTGGTGGTGCTTCCCTTGGCAGCAAATAACAATACCATCCCATCCACAGCCAGGCGATGATCCGGGCACGTCTGCTCCGCGAGAACGGCAAGTATTTGAGCGCCCAGAGCTTCTCCATGCGGAAGAACTTCTTCAACAGCGAGGAGACCGGCTACTTCAAGACCCAGAAGCGACCGCCCGTAGCCCAGAACTCATCCGCCATGCTCACCGACATGGTCAAGGGCAACTTCATCAACGTCCTGCCCATGGTGGTGATCGGCGGCTGGATCAACTGGATGTTCTCGGGCTTCGTCACCACCAAGGTACCCTTCCCTCTGACCCTGCGCTTCAAGCCAATGCTGCAGAGGGGCGTGGAGCTAGCCTCCCTGGACGCCGCCTGGGTATCCTCGGCCTCTTGGTACTTCCTCAACGTGTTCGGCCTGCGCTCCATTTACACTCTGGTCCTCGGCGAGAACAACCATGCCGACCAGACACAAGCGCAGGCGGATGCCATGACGGGCGCCGCCATGACCATGCCCCAGGATCCAAAGGCGGCCTTCAAGGCCGAGTGGGAGGCGCTGGAGATCACCGAGTACCACAACGCCCTCAAGAACATCGACGCCGACATGCTGACCATCGCCAGCGCTGCCGCGGACAAGAGTCCCTGAGTGACGAGGCCTTCGGGCTCATCCTAATTAAGATATTTTAGCAAATTCAGAATGTAACAAAGCCGATTTTGTTTAGAGTCCAGGGTTAAAATAAAGCAGTTGTGTGTCTATTATGGCAAATTGTTCAGTTTGTTGAGAGCCAAAGAAAAACAATATAGCTTAAGGAATTTAACCAACCTTTAAGGCTTTCTTTAAAAATCAAGTACACCCCCAGAACCGATTGAGAAAAAAGAGAACAATTTCGATAAGGATGCACCAAAACTGGTCTATGACTGGCAATTTAAAAGATGTAGTCCCACTCCCAGTCGCGTGTCAACTGAATGAAAAGTAACAATGAATAGGAAAAATAACTTAGTAGTAGGCCTCTTCGGTAGCCTCTGTTTGAGGAGCTGGCTCCTCCGGAGCGCCGGCGGGCTCTGGAGGAGCGGAAACTGGTGGAGAGGGAGCCTTCTGAAGAACAGGTGGCGAGGGAGACTTCTGCAGTACAGGTTCCGGCTCACTAGGAGCATCTGTGGGGGGACCTTCCTGTTCAGTGGCCTTCGCAGCACCCTTCTCCCCGCGACCCGTATTCAATGGAGACGGAGGTCGGGCTGAGGCCTGCACCTTGAACTGTTTCTCCGGCTTCTTGAGGTCCTTGGGCTTGCCCATGAGACGATAATCGTTTGGCAACTCCGCCTCCGTGTAGAGCTTGTCGGCAAAGTAGATGCGCCGGATGCGGATGTTTGCATGTAGCTGAAGGGACACCGTCTCCAGATAGTTGGAACCGTAGGCACGGCGTGTGAAGTCGGCTAGGTTGAACTGGATCTGATTCCAGCCAGGGGACATGCCCATCGGCATGGCCGTACAGAAGGGCTTCACGGAGGTCTTGCTCTGGAAATTGGACACCCGGAAGCGGCGCATGAAGCGCTGATCGTCTTGAATCTTAGGAGTGTGTACAGGATTTAAAGCTTAACATTATGATCTCTCCTGTTTGAAAACCACTCAACTAACCTTAACTTCAAAGCAAAAGTACTTGTGCATGTTCTTTATCAGGAGCACCAGAAAGGGCAGCTTGATGCCCAGCTGCTCCTTGCACTCGCTGGGACAGTGTATGAAAGTGGTGGACACATTGGAGCCCATAATCTCGAGCACCAGGGACTTGATGTCCTCATCGTAGATGCGCTTGATGTATCCGTTCTTTGTCTGTCCAAGGAATTATTCTACAGGCCCAGAGTTAAAAGTACTTCTCATACTCACATAAGAGGACCAGTTGTTCAGGGGCGAGCTGCCCACGCTGTAGAACACGGTAAGGAAACCTTTCTGGTAGGCTGAACGATACATTGTCGATTGTATTTTTTGAACTGTGTGTCTGGTTTATAAGATCAAGCTACGGTCAGTCCCCAAGTGACTGAAGTGAAACAGCAAACTTAAACTATATCTAGACTAATTGTAGAAGGGGTTGTAGGTGACCCAGTGGGCGCGCTCCTGGTCCTTCTCGGTCTTGTGGGAGGTGAAAAGCGACTTGTAGACATCGCTGGCCTTGGGATCCTTGGCCACGCTAAAGTCACTTTTAAGGCGTTTCATTTCAGGATCCTGCATGGCATTCACTGCCCCAAGTCGTTTGACCTGGCCTGCAGCCTTCACTTTTGAGCTGGAGGTGGGCTTCTCAATAGTTGCAGACTTTGATGTAGAGGCGACTGGTTCCTGGGACTCTTCGGGCTCAGCTTTAACCTCCACCTTCTTTGTTCCCTTCTTCTCCTTTTTGGAGGACTTGCGCTTGGCAGCGCGCATTTCCATCTTGACACGCATCAGCTCCAAGTCCTCGTCGTTTCCATTGAGCACCACCACGTCCTCGACGCTGTAGGGAGCCTGGCACAGCGGACAAGTGCTGGCCGCGCTGCCTTTGATCTGCTTCAAGGCTCGCTCGGACACCACGCATCCGCAGCTCCAAAGAGCCACGAACCGGAATTTGCCGGACATCTCCAGGCCAATCAGCTTGCAGATGTATGGAGCATGTCGTGTGTCCAGCAAGCCATCTGATTTGTCCTCCTCCGTGAAGGCGGGATTGGGAGTGGGATTGAGTTGGCGGATGTCCTTCATGCTCTCCACGTGAGCTGCCGTCTCCGGCATAGGTTCCTTCTCCAGAAGGCGCTCAATGACGCTCTGCTTAGAGTACAGCCTGCCCATGCCGCACATGGCGATCGGTTCCTGGAGGCTCTGCTGGGTTAAGGTGCAGTGGCGCCAGCGGAACTCCCTCTCCGCATCCTTGTCTTTCTGGAAGGTTCAAAAGCGGGAGTAAGTCTGGTCAGGAGGAGCTCCAATGGGATTCCCTTACCTGTTCCGGCTTTTGCTTGACGCGCACCAACTCATCACGCCTGGGAATGGTTCCACCATCGCAACCCATAATTATACGTCGGTTTTTGTAAACTTTTGTTTATAAGTATTTTGTTATCCAGCTGCTACCTTAAATTGGCAATCCAAAATTGAAAGTAACCAGTGGCTTTAAGTCAGTCGTACGGTACTCACTCAAAATAAACAGTATATCTGTAATATACTATTTTGACTGGCGTTAATTACGTTTAAATTAAGTGTAAATGACGCTTTATTCACAATTCTTTATTATTTATATTTTTTCATAGAGATGGAAGCACGCAGGTGTATCGATAGCAGTGATGTTTCTGAATATCGAATACCACGTCATCGATGGTTATACACAAATCCTTTGAAAATCATTTCAAAGTTCAAAAGCAAAATGGCATTTTAAGTATGCCCTTAACTCTTAAATTGTTAAAAATGTACCAACAATTTTCAGCAATCGTTTCTGTTGAATTTTTAAACACCAACTAGTCAAATTTCGATGGTAAAAGCATGTAATATTTTATTTTTCAATATATAAATTATTAACAAAGTAAGAAGAACTAAAAATATATACTTTCTAGATTGATTTTAAAGTAAATAATGAGTACTGGTCATACAAAAAAGTTACAGACTTGCCATGGCTTTTTAGAGAATCAAGTCATATTAATACTGATCAAAATTAGATTTCATAATTTGAAGCTGGATCCAAATTGCTTGAAATTATTTAAGGCTATTAATTTTTTGTTGATTACAAAATATTATGTAAGAAGAAACAGTCGGTTTTTATATTTGTAAAAATTGTTCTTAGATCATATTTATAACATTGTTTTTAAAGAATTAATTAAAATTGTAATATAAGAAATGTATCTTAATAAAAAATACTCAGGCTACTATTACTTTTATTATGAGCGAAAAAATAGCAGTTAAAAATAATCTTAAACGTTATATATCGGTGTCCAATGTTGGACTAGAGTTTTCCATTTTAAGATTGCTGGAAAAAACAGATTTTCCAACTTGTGCAAAGGGGAATCGAAAGATCGGGACTATTGAGCGTAGGGTCTACGACCGTTCCAAACCTGCTAATGAGCAGAGCTATATAGTAAATATTGATAATTCGATCTGTTTTTTTCTTGCTGCTTTGGGGAGCTCTCTTAGGGTCGATCACCGGGAGATTACCGAATCTTTCTTCCGACGCGGATCCTAATAAAAGCCTGACCCGGCGGTGCAATGTCCAAGTGTGTGGACCACTCTCGAGGAGGCAACAACTCAACATGAAACTAATTATGGCTCTTTCCGTTCTGGTGGCTGTGACATCGGCCTTGCCTCAATTTGGTGGTGGCACCGTCAATCAAGACGGTGGCTTTGGAGGCGAAGGCCATCCAGGACATGGAAGAGTACCAGGATTCGCTGGCGGGCATGAAATTGGAGGTGGGCAACCAGGATTTGGAGGTGGCGGCTTTCCACGTGGCCCAGGAGGTGGTGGCGCCTTCGGCACGTCTTCTGCCTCAGCTTCTGCGTCGGCAAGTGGCGGTGGATTTCGCGATTAAATCAAGCCACAACATGCCAACAGCACTGAAAGTAAGCACTGTTACACAAATTATTTTGTAGAAGAAAGTTTCTTTGTTACCTCCATTTTTCGACGAACAATATTAATTATGTAACTTTTGTAAAATAAATCGCAGATGTGACTTAGCCCCGCATGTAGGTATGCCTGGCTGTCCTTAAGTTTTTTTTAAATGTATCAATTTAAAAAACATTTTTTTTTACTTTCATTTTTTATTTGTATTTTAAGATTGAATATCTTTATGTGTGTGTATGAATTTATCTTACTGCTGATATGGACCGTTTGGATGGGAGATAATGCAGTTATCTCTGTGCTGTCAATGCTCTTTGTTTAAAAGGTCCAATCGAAAATGCTTGTGTGTATAAAACCGGAGAAACCTCTCATGTGTCAAGTTATCTGCAGTCAGAACATGGCCAATCAAGTACTCATCATTTGTGTTTTCTTAGCACTCGCCTTGGGTATAAGTGCAAAGATCTGCCATTCGCCGTTTACTCAAGTTGGCAACAAATGCTACCACGTGTCCTTACAAAAGGTAGTTAAATCATGTTTGATTTTTAAGCTTTAATATTCTTATAATCTTCTTATAAAATACATTAATTTTAGGTAAACTGGCATACTGCAGATCGCAGCTGTCGAAAACTCGGGGGCGAACTAATGGTGCTAGACGGTGAAGAGGACAAACGGCTCACAATCGAATATCTCCACAGTTTGGGGCTTGCGATCAAAGATACTTGGCATGATTCCGTTTGGGCTGGGATCGATTGCCTGGGAACCCGCCGCAGCTTCCATTTGTCAAAAAATGGAGACAATGCGGCCTTCGTGAACTGGGTGCCATCCCAACCAGACAACGCTATTCCCGAAGAGGACTGTGTGGCTTTCGCCCACGTATTTGGGGTCTATGGGTACCACGATATAGAGTGCAAACTCGAATTTCCAGTGGTATGTCAGAAGGATTTGGCAGATAAATATTTCTGCCAGAAGCAGGAACTGTTTTCAGAGGCACTTATGTAAAAGGCTAAAAATAAAATGCTTAATTCATACAATGGATTACAATATTCTAAAAAAAATTTGTTTCGGTATGCTGAAATAAAGTATCGATACAAAAATATTCTAATACGAATTAATTTTTGAAAATTTACAAAAACTTTAAAAAAAAACAAGGAAGAACGCTATAGTCGAGTACCTCGACTATCAGATACCCGTTACTCAGCTATATGGAGATATGCAAGCAGCAAAGCGAGATTAAAATGCGCCACCTACCGGAGGTATACAGATTTAAGCGTTATGGGCGTTAGAGTGGGCGTGGCAAATTTTTTTTTGGATCAATCGATAGGTATCGACGAGACCAATACATTTCAGTTAAAATTTTTTATCTAGCATGAAAATTGTGGGCGTCACAGGTTTTCGCGGTTTGTGGGCGTTAAAGTGGGCGTGGCAAACTTTTTTTGGGTCAATCGATAGGTATTGGTGAGAACAATACATTTCAGTTAAAATTTTTATTCTAGCATCAAAACTGTAGGAGCCACAGTTTTGGGCGGTTTGTGGGCCTTAGAGTGGGCGTGGCAGTCTACTGAAACAAACTTGCGCTGCGTAAGAAGCTTAGGAATCTGCACGCCAAATCTCAATAGCCTAGCTCCCATAGTTTCCGAGATCTCAGCGTTCATCCGGACGAACAGACAGACGGACAGACGGACAGACGGACAGACGGACATGGCTAGATCGACTCGGCTAGTGATCCTGATCAAGAATATATATACTTTATGGGGTCGGAAACGCTTCCTTCTGCCTGTTACATACTTTCCGACGAATCTAGTATACCCTTTTACTCTACGAGTAACGGGTATAATAATTAGGTTGAATACTAGTCCTAAAACAGGATGTAATTTTTTAAGTACGCAAAATGTTTCCTTTTTTTACTTATACTGCTCTTTCTTAATCAATCAATTATTTTACCCGTAATTCGTAGAGTATATTAGTCGTATATTTGATTTGACATTTGATATTCTAAAATGTAAGTAGTAGACGGGTTTAGCGTTATGGACGTTTGTGAGGGTTAGATTGGGCGTGGCACCCTGCTGAATCCAACTTAAATATATTTATCGTACTGATATGAACCGTTTTGAACAATATGACCTTCGCGGACTGGTTGGCCAACCAACCCAACTTCAAAAAGAAGAGTTCTATGGGTACCACGATAAACAGTGCAAAAGTGAGTACTGTGTGGTATGTTAGACGAAAATATTGGAGGAATATTTAGCCAAAAGCGGGAACTGTTTTTGGATGCATTTCTGTAAAAGAATCAAATAAAAGGGATTTATGCAATCAGATCATTTTATACAATTCACATCCCAATGTCTCTGGGCCAGCCAAGGCCACTCTGTTTTGCAAATAGTTAATAGTGTGGTTATACTTGAAAGAAGCCACTTCTTCGAGTACTACTATCCTATAATGATAACGAGTCTTGGCAGCTGGCATTAAAAGTAACCCTTCTGGCGAAAGACACAAGCCATAATTTCTTTAAAATTTATTATCAACAGTTCTATTAGAGAATTACGACCTACTGAAGACCAGCTGCTCCGCGTCCGTGAAGGGGCAGTGCTTGGCATACGGCACATCTATGCAAATGCAGCCTCGGGCGCTGAAAATGCAGGGTTTCAGGTTAGAAAAATTTGACTAGGCGTTTTTTGAAGAACTTACTCATCGGGGGCGTCGTTACCCATGTGGTACTCCCTCAACAGCGAGGCGAACTCGAAGGGATTAACTTTTCCGCTAACGGGCAGTCTCTTTGATCCACTGAGATTCAGGCAGCCGTTGGGACAAGGAACCCCCATGAACTTCTTGTGCTTGAAAGTGGCCGTGGCCAAGTAGCAGATGCTCAGGAAATGAGAGCAGCGGGACCTTCCTGTTAAATAAAGATCATGAACATAAAGATCATGAATTAGTTTCAAAGGACCAATTTAAATACTTAAGAATATGGCCTTTTACATCAAAATAACATAATTTCGTATCGGGAAGAAATTCGTTTAAATCACTTATCTTTTATGGTAACAATATTACCATACTCTATATTATATTATTTTATAATATCAAGTAATATTACTATTAGCTCTTACTGATGGGATTCCCCTTGCAGAAAGGCTGGATGCGTCCTCCGTTGACGCAGTAGTTGAGGTGCCCGGTGTTGTCCTCCTGCCCCAGGAATCCTGCATTGGTGTGGATCACCTGGATGACACTAGCGTCGTCGATCGTCAGCCGGAAGGTGTTGCTCTTGTTGCGCTCTATCAGAGGCCGGGCGGGATCTAGTCCGATGATGCGGTACTGCTTCCGCGTCAGGTGGTTGCTGATCATGCCGCAGATGTGGGCGCCCAGGGAGTGGCCCACGCAAGTGATCCGCTCCCGAACAGCTCCGTAGTGGGTCAGAAAGGCGTAGATCTGGGCGGTGCACTGCGCCGTGAGTCTGGTGTTGATCAGCGAGTGGAGGTAGCACGGATATCGGGTCAAGGGTCGCCAGTCCACGGTGATAACGTTAAAGTCGCGGGATAAGTATGCTGAGATAGGGTTACATAGATACAGTATTAGGTGTTCTGAAACTGAAGAAATCATCACTCAACTCACCATCCCTGAGAAATTGTAGGTGAATGTCGATGGCGGTTCCATTAAAACCGTGAATAATAAAAACTGTTTCGCGGCTCTTACTGAATCCGCCCTTATATAAACTCAACGGGTTCTTGACATTCAACGGAGTTCCTCGTCGCGGCCCATTGCTGGAAAATCGTAATTAGATTTAAATATAACCTTACAATCAAGTAGTTCATAATAATATAACAAATTACTTATTTTTATGATTATTTTTATTTTTATTAATTGTATTATTATTAATAACTTAATTATAATAATAAAAATAATATATTATTTAGAATTTAAATAAAACGCATAAAATCGTTGGTTATATACGTATAATTATAAGTTAATCAGATATTGAACCAAATTGTGTTATCATAATTGGTTTTTAAGAAGGAAAAATACATATATTCTTTTATACATTTGGGTGTGCTGATCTTAAACCTCGATAAATAAACAACAGTGTTATTTTTTTTTAAACTGAGCCTAATGGATTAAAACCTGCTGCTTTAAGCCCTTAAAATATGTAAGCAAAACTTTAAACTTCAAACTTCTTTAAAACCAAGCCCATGAGCAATTATTTAACACTGGCTACTCCTTCCCGTTGTTTAAAAAATGTATTAACCATGTTTTTAGAGCAATTTCTTACGGATTTATTGGCAATCCCACTCTTCATTTAATAAGTCTGTAAAAAGTTTATTTTTGGGTATTACACAGTGTTGTTATTGTCTTTAAATATCTCACTGCTGATATGACCCGTACTAAAAGGCGATAATGGTTTGCAGTTATCTCTGTTTTGTTGGTAAATGCTTTCTGTTTAAACGGAACAAGCTTCATTCCTTGTGTGTATAAAACCGGAGAAACCTCTCGTGCGGCAAGTGATCGGAAGCCAGAACGTGGCCAATCAAGTGCTCTTCATATGTGTTCTCTTAACTTTGGTTTTGGGTCTGAACGCTATCAATTGTCGATCATAACAAGTGCCTCAACAGCTTTGTAAATAAGACAGGGCCTTTATCAGGAACAAATAATTTCCAATATAACATTAATCTTTCAGATAATTGTGTTAATTAGGGTTGACTCTATTGCCTTCAACGACGAACGGGACGCCGCTCTCACAACCCCACTCCACATTAATTTCAATTCCCGAAAAAGTTTTAAAGAATTCCATTTAAAATGTTACCTAGCATAAAAAATACTTAATAAACGACTTAATCATTATAGGGTCATTTCGTCGAACATTTTGAGGTCATACAATTTGAAGTTAGGAGAAAAAGTAACAAAACACTAAACCGAACAATAAATAACAAATATGTCAAGAACAGGAAATGTTGCCTTCTTGAGCCATAGAAAATCCAAACAGTTATCAGCAATTGCTCTTAGAATACTTCCCAGAAGTCTTTAACAAGATAAATATTTGTAGGCCTCTCTTTTGATTTCCAAGAACGGAGGTGTCAGTCCGGTAATTTTTTGCAGTTATACAACCATCAATCAGCAATCTCTTAAACGCTGGCCATCATGTAATCCCCTCCGAGTTCAGTGTTACCACAGCAACTACCTGGCTGCTTTCCCAAAATGGACTTCTTCAGTTGTGACTTTGTCTCATCTTCGGAGATGGGGGTGATCTTGCCCAGACAAGTTGGGCAACTACCAAGGAGTCGTTTGTAAAACACTTTATTGGTCAATTGGCCATTGCAATTGATGTCATCGCTGGCCAAGACTGGCGGTCAGTGTGGAAAAAGCAGGCCTTCTTCGGCAAAAGTATCTCATCCTTAGTGGGTCAGTGGTTGGCTTCGAGAAACGGGTTGCCGCCCATTAATTGCACTCTTATTTTTCGGTCTCTGCCAGCCAATATCCTTGTGGTTGCACAAGTCCAGTGCGACAAGTGTTTCGGCAGTTGACACACTAACCGAGTGAGCAATTCCAGTTGCCTAACACCTGAGGAACTTTCTCCCCCGCGCAGCGGCTAGCACAAAACCTCATCATAACCTGGCAAACTTATTGCACAGAGAATAAAAATCTATCTTTAATTGGGATTAAAAGCAGAGTGATGCACAGTGTGCATTGCTCACCCTATCAAAGTCAGCAAAATTCTAAAGCTTAAATAAATAAATCTATGAGCATTCTGGGATCATTTTAACAGGGCATATCAGAAATGCAGTAATTTTAATTCTTTTTTCATCTTTAGCCAGCAACAAACTGCCTTTTTTTTAATTATTAGGTATTTATAAAATGATTCACTTCTAAAACAGGCTTTTACTTCAGAATGACATTTATTTTGTTGATTTGTTGGTTTTGAATTCAAGTTCTACAAAGAGAAACTTGCAGAATCCGCTTAAACTTACGGAGCGTACAGTCGGTGATCAATATGTGGACTGGGGCAGAAGTTTTTGTCGCGCAAGAAGCAACGCAATACATTTAGGTCCAAGGCCCCACTGTTGCGCAGATTCTTCCAATCCGTTTTGCTTAACAGCAATGTTTGTGCATCTGCAATTGTATTTGGTGGGGTCTTTAGTTCTTTGACCTTATACCGACGTATAATTTATCAATATTAAAAACATTTATGTTTTTCAAGAGTTAAAACTGTAGAATTTTAATATTCTTTGAATCATATTTTAACTTGATCAACACATTTTTTTTAGAATAACCCCAAAATACTTTTGTATATACCTTTGGCAAAGAGTGAAAATATGCAAAGCACGACGAGATGTTTCATTTTTGTTTGAATTTCACAGTTTGTAGCATTAATTTTTATTTACGTAGAAAAATAAATAAGTTTCCTAGTGACACAATTCGGTGCACATACACTTAAGTCAAAAGCAATGACGATTTTCCAATGGTTAGGTTTCCATAACTATCATTTGATATGCAAATAATTTCACAATTGAAGAAAGGTTTACTTTATAAGTGTTTTATTATAAAATTTTTGAAAATGTGTTTGACATTTGGCAATTGTTATTTTCCATTAGTATAATTTAAGCTTTCTTTTTTTCTTTATTTTTGCCAAATGATTATATTTTTTTTTTTTAGTTACTTGTCACCGAAATAATTATACAGTTGTGGAATTTATATTTCGACGCATAAGTTTTTAATTATTGAGTTATTTTTCACGAGGACTTTTGTCTTTCCTCTTTCTGATTTTAATTGCCTTTCACATATTTCGTATGCTTAAACCAGATTCCACTCCGCTTTTCCGTTCCGATTGACAACTTGCACTGCGATCACATGTTTTTATAATTGATATCCATTTGGTTTTGCCAAGCGATTTCATCGTAATCCTTTGCATGGAAATGAGCAATTTTGATTTTTTCGAGCAATCCGCACCACGTCTTGCAGATTCGCGCTGTCTACTGCAAATGCGCCGCCAAAGCGCGAAAGGCGCGACCAAGGAAAATGCAGTCGTCGCCTGCAGAGGCAGCAGCAATTGCAGCGGTAGCAGCAACACCAAAAGCGGCAACATTAGCAGCAGCAGCAGCAGCAGCAAAAACTGGCCATAGAATTGCTCAGCCCACCGCCTGTTGCCTTGACTTTGCTTAGCTCCGACTTAAAACGTGAACGACTTTGGCTAATAAATGAATAATGTTGCTGTTGTTAGTGATGTTGCTGCTGTGTTGCCTTCATTGTTGCTGCAACTGCTGCTGTTGTTGCTGTTGTGTCTGCCTGGCGACGACTATGAAATGAAAATTCACGGCACACGCAACGCTGCACTGATTTTGATTATGAGTTTTCAGTGGAAAATGGGTGCTTTCGGTTTCGTTTTCCAACTCAATGCCGTTGCCTTCTTCATGGTGTCTGCGGTTTGTAATTCATATCTTTATTATTTACATAACATTCGCATTGAATGCAAATTCTTATAATTTCCTCCGTCGACAATTGCCCAGTTTGTTGCTTAAGTCATTCGTTTTTGCCAAGCGATAGTCAAATATTATCAGATCTGCATCTTTCTGGTGACTGGCTAGCCTTTCATATTGCCCTGGTTAGATGGTTCAAGGCCAGAAAAAAGGAAAGGTCCCAAATCAGGAATATAGTGCGACCATTTATCAGCCCAATCTGATCGCAGAAAAGTGAAAGATTGGAATGTTTGTCTACGCTTGCGTGGAGAGCTTGCTAATATTTTAAAATAAAATGCATTTTAACGGAATAAATAAATATGGTCTAAAAATAAATGCACTGAAGCTGCGCTAACAAGAGTTTGGGATCACTTAAAAAGATTATCTTATTTCAGTGTTTTGTTTATATCCGAAGCTCAGATGGGAATCATGTTGTAGTACTTATAGTTTTTTTTATAAGTATTTTATTTATTTTAAATACTTTATTTACCCAAGCAGGTATTTAAAGGTGTATCGTATAGTCTTCAAAAATGTAACTATCCTGTGATAGAAAATTACTTCTCTTATACTAACCCTTCTACTGAGTAGTCAAGGTGATTCAAACACAAGGGCACTAGTTTTAGGCACAGGTAACAACTTAAATATTCTTAATTTGACAACTATAAGTTTTTTATTTTCTCACTTCCACATTTCTCACTCTACCTACCTTGTAAACAACTGGTAGTTAATATATCGCTTGGGGCACGTTTCCCACAATAAAATATGACAGTTGAGTGGATTCAAGTCGAAATTTCCATTGCGCAACAAGAACTGCAGTGCATCTCTATGATATTTGGCTGTAGAAAGAAACCAACTCAGCACACAAATCACAATCCTTATCGACAACGCGATCTTCCCACTTACACGCGTTCGTGAGCGAATCCAGGGAAAGTAGCGATAAGAGCAGTACGATAATGCCGGTCAACATTTTGGCCAAATGATCTCTGCATATAAATTGGTATCACGTAGGAGCGAGCACATCGGGTTAAATGGAAGCCGTTTAATTGAATGAGCCATTGGCAACGCCTTCTGCCAAACTGCGGAGCCAAGAGCTTTTAAAAGCTGCATCCGCAGAAGAAAATGGAAAACGAATGAAAATCGCCGAAAATTGACACTCACGAACGACCCGGCGCCATCTGCGGGTTGGGTGACATTGCTTTGTGGGGAGCTGCCAGGCGGTTGTTTTCATATTTCGGTCTCGTGTGCACAGAAGTTGCGTGTAACCAAAGCCCCGATTTCCATATGGCCGGGTGCACTGAAAAAAAAGTAGAGAGCCAACACATTTCAGACAGGTGAAGTATAAAAGGATTAGCATTCATTTAGCATTCGAAATCCCAAAAAAAGTAATAAATGGTACAAGAAATAAGCCATTATCAATGTTCTGTGGCCAAAAAGGCAGTGAATATGTAGTACTTAGAATTATTAATAAGTTCTAGTATATACCACAAATACTATAATATGGTTAGATATGAAAATAAGTATAAAAATAGCCGCAGATGATATCAAAAATCAGATTATAAAGATATTTTAAGTCCTTCTCATACACTTTAAAATGGAAAATTTTGGTACATTTTGTGTAACCACCAAAATGTATACTTATAATACCCATTTCCTTTCAATTACCATTTAATGAGAGCCATTTCGTGGGGTGTATTATCATATTGTTGACCGATGTGATTGGGTTTCGCAACTGTCTGTGTCGTTATAAACGAATGTTGCTTACCACATTTGGACACCTGCAGGCTCCACCATTGTCCAGAGCAATAAAGAATAAAAATGATTAAAAAAGCTTAACCATAGATAGCACAGAAAAACAAAATGGGAAAATATTGAATAGTTGCTAAAAGTTATGGCATTGATCTTAGTAAAGTTAGACACTATCACGCCACTGTTTTCATTTTCTTTCACACTTTAACAGAGCATTCATTACTGACATTCGTGTTAAAGAGTTTACAATGAATATGAAGCGATCATATAGATTTGAAGAGAGTTAGGCTTAATTTCCAACTACATCTTAGTTGTCAAAGATGTGCAGGTTAGTGAACCTTACCTTTGACTCCCATTTATAAGGGACCCCATTATTTCCCTACACCTAATAAAAACAGTTGACAGCAAAAGCGGTAGCAATTAATTCTGAACACAAGAGGGAAACAGATCTCAGTTGCGGAAAACACGGGACCAGGCCCAAAGTGACAACAAACGCCTTTTCTACCGGCAGACAGCGATTTTTCCAAACGAAAGTAAACAATATGGGGTCTGCGGCTAATGCATCTAATTGAAAGTAATGAGCTCGTTGGCCTAAAGCACCGCAAAACGGGGCTAAAGTCAACGGGAGGCACAAAAACGTTTTTCATGGGTTTTTGATATAGTAAAGCCATTCAAAGGAAAGGAAATTGTAATGCAAATGAAAATAAAAGGCAACCGCAGAGCAGAGAGGAGAAAAACTTAAGTCACAGCAACTGTTTCCATCTGTTCATGTTGCAGGTAACTACTCTATACACGGTGGCTAAGAAATAACTCCCGCTTTGCTATTTGATATTAAATGGTTAAATTTCTGCCTCTCAAATTAGCATTGTTATTTGCTAATTTATTTATTTTAAATATTGTTTTATACATTTTTTGTTTGTTTTGTAACTCGATGCATTTATTTTGTTTATCGGTCTCTGTTATTTTTAATGAAATAGGGTGTCTGTTATTTCCAATGCCTTTTTTCTACTTGTTTTTTCAATTGCTTTTCATGGTTGCAGGTCTCAGCCAATCAGCTGCAATTGATGTAATGTTTTGAATTGTTCATTCATCTGGTTGTGGTTGGCGAAGAATAAGTTGCATAACAATTTTCCGGATTGTCGTCACCTTGTTATAATTCACACCCGATCTTATCCGTATACTATTGCCCTGGGACATAAAATTATTATTCCAATTATGATCGGAATCTGCCTAATTGTCTAATTTTCAACACCAACGAAATGTGTTGCTATTAAAGGCCCAAAATTAAAGGAAACATTGTATGCTAAAATTCCATATAATTTCAGTAAGCACTCAATCAGTTTACAAATTAAATAATTTTCCTTTTTTCCTTTGAAAATAACACACACGTTTTTAGTTGAGCATGACCAATTTCGGCTTATTTCGCTCATTTGTATTTCTCTTTTTTATGCAGTACAAATTTCTCATAAAACTTGATAAGTTATGGGGCATAACGTCGGCGGGAAGCTTCAAAAAAATATACAGAAGGGGAAAAACATTGGTGCAAATTAATGAGTAAGGTTATGCGGCAAGCACTCATAATATTCTTAAAATAAGTGCATTTTTGCATTCTATTCTAAAACTGAAAAAATATATTTTTGATAGAAGAAAAATGTGTACTCTTAGATTTACAAAATACATTTCTTCCAAAAATTATTCCTTACTTTCACATCTGATGTACAGGTGTGGTCAAAAGTATTTTCACAAAACTAAAGTTAATTATACTCATAATTTAAACTTTCTTCTTGTTAACTTTGGCATCAATGGAAAGGTAATTTAAATGCCATTTGAATGATGCATTTATTTTCTTAACCCATTCAGTACTTATTAAAAAGAAGGAATATGTGTGAAAATCTACTTTTTAAACTTTTCCCTCGTCTTGATAACTTAAATTTGTTGATGCAAAAAGTTTCTTCAAACAAAATTAACAGTAACTGCAAAAAGAATTTTTCAAAAATCATCAGTTACTATTATTTTTGTTTGAAGAAACTTTTTGCATCAAAATTTATTTAAAAATTAAATTTTATAAAAAAAATGAATTTTAAATTTTAAATTAATTTTTTAGGATGGGGTAACTGAGCAAGCAGTTCATGGTTGAGTCACGTACTAAATGTTGTTAACAGAAAGCTCATCCAGTTACTTTACCAGCTAAACGAGCTTTTTGGACAACATCCATCAAAGTATTCAAATTCGTGTTGGGTATTTCTAGTTTTCTGAAGGATCTCCCTAATAACATTTCTAACTAGTTTTACATTTTAGTAATTTATTATTCGTCGAAATTATATGTGGCTAATGAATAAAGTAGCTTTCCTGACCTTAA